AACAACCACTAACCATTGTATAGCCAAACAGTTATATTTATCGAATCCGCTATTTACCATCTACTACTCACTTTCCGTTATCCGTCATCCGTTATCCGCTAACCGCCACCCGTTACTTGCTACTGCTATTCACTATCCGTTACTAACTATCCGCTATCCGCTATCCGCTACATTTTATTTTTAACTGCTGTACCAAACATACCTTTAATTTGATTATAATATATTTCAAGCACTAACATCTTAATTAAGTCCATAAATTTTGTTTACTTTTAAGTCAACACTTTAAACCATTCAACATTAGTCACACACCCACTCACCCACCCCTAATAATGATACCCATGAAACGATAAACCTCACCAAACGATAAACCTCACCACAAACGTCGAAAACAAGTAGAAACTGGAAAGTGTTTTCCTGTTCCAAATTACACTGTCCTTTTCATGTGAACCCACTGAAACGGAAATCACGCATTTAACTTCCCCTCGTTTTTTTCCACCATCCAGGCAGTATACATAAACCCTAAAACATGCTCTGATTTCGTTTATTGCTTGAAATGAGAAAAGTGGCTCTCCAGATTCTGCTGTTTCTTTCTCTCTGGTTCTTTTTCTGTTTTCCTCTTGTGCTGTCACTCAATGGGGACGCTCGGGTACTGCAGCGGGTCAAGGATGACCAGCCCCACGACCCACACGGGAAGCTCGGTGATTGGATTGCGGGAAGTGATGCCAATCCATGTAATTGGACTGGCATTACTTGTGACGGTCTGAGCGGTGCTGTCGTCGCTATTGATCTTACCAACTTTGGTCTCTCAGGCGGGTTTCCGTCCAGGCTCTGCCATATCCGGACCCTCCAGAACCTCACTCTTGCCTCCAATGAGTTTACCGGCTCTCTTTCCTCTCTTACTCTCTCTGAATGTCCTCATCTACGAGTGCTTAATCTCTGTAGTAACTTATTCGTCGGCAAGTTGCCCGATTTGTCATCGGAATTTACTCAACTTGAAGTGTTGAATCTTTCTCAGAACAACTTTTCTGGTGAGATTCCAGTGAGTTTCGGGCGGCTCCCAGCTCTGAAACTTCTCGATCTAACCGGTAACTTACTGAACGGAACGATTCCTTCATTTCTTGGGAATCTGAGTGAGCTGATTAATTTGGAACTCGGTTACAATCTCTTTCAGCCGGGTCATCTGCCTCCAGAGATAGGAAACCTGTCAAAGCTTGAGATTCTATACCTCTGTAATTCGAATCTAACCGGAGAAATTCCGGCTTCCATCGGAAATCTCATTTCTCTGAGAAATCTTGATCTGTCCATCAACTTTCTATCTGGTAAAATTCCAAATAGCATTGGCAGAATGAAAAGTTTGGAGCAAATTGAGCTGTATCGGAATCAGTTGAGTGGGGAATTACCTGAGAGCTTCGGCAATTTGACTAATCTGCTTCGATTGGATGTTTCACAGAACAGTCTTACCGGAAAACTACCTGAGAAAATCGCTGCAATGCCCCTTGCGTCGTTGAATCTCAATGACAACCTGCTGTCCGGCGAAATCCCTGATGTTTTAGCTTCAAATCCCAATCTTGTGCAGTTGAAACTCTTCAATAACAGCTTCACGGGAAACTTGCCTGCAGATCTTGGGGAAAATTCTGCTTTGGAAGATTTTGATGTGTCCACCAACGATCTCACCGGCGAGCTGCCTCCATACCTCTGTTATAGAAAAAAGCTTCAGCGTATTGTCATTTTCCACAACCGATTCTCGGGGAAATTACCGGATTCATACGGTGAGTGCAGAACGCTGAATTATGTTCGTATTGGCTATAATGAGTTCTCCGGTGAAGTACCCGCCAATTTTTGGGGTCTTCCTGGGCTGAACTTGTTGCAATTATATAACAATAATTTTGAAGGTTCTGTTCCTCCGTCGATCTCCAACCTCCATGGGCTCTCCGAGCTTAGTATTTCAGGTAACAATTTTACCGGTGAGATACCGGAGGAAATTTGCGGATTGAAGCAAATTCAAGCAATTAATCTGGGCCAGAATAGATTTTCCGGTGAAGTGCCGTGGTGTATAACGGAACTGAACAAGTTGCAGAGGCTTGACTTGCAGGACAACGAATTGACCGGAGAGATTCCGAGTTCAGTGAGTTCATGGACCGCTTTGATCGAGTTAAATCTGGCTAGAAACAAACTCACCGGTCAAATTCCACCTCAACTCGGCAGTCTACCGGTTTTGGAATATCTCGATCTCTCCGGTAACTCTCTGACCGGCGAAATTCCGGTGGAATTGACAAGGCTGAAGCTGAATCAGTTCAACGTCTCCAATAATAAACTCAACGGCAGAGTCCCTTCCGGTTTTGAACACGAGTTGTTTATCTCGGGTTTATTGGATAATCCGGGTCTTTGCAGCCAGGATTTGGATCCACTTCCTGCTTGCCCGAGGCCCCGACCCGCAACAATTTATGTTGTCTCTGTTATGGGCATCTGCATTGTGGTTCTTATCGGGTCTTTAATATGGTTCTTCAGATTCAAGTCCGAATTCGGCCGCAAAACCAAATGCCCGTATAAGGTAACCATATTCCAACGGGTCGGGTTCACCGGAGAAGAAATACTACCATATCTAACGGGAAAAAACCTCATCGGGGTAGGCGGCTCGGGTCAGGTATACAAAGTGAATCTCAATACGGGTCAAACAATCGCTGTTAAGAAACTCTGGGGCGGCGCCCAGAAACCGGAAACGGAAGCGGTGTTCCAGTCGGAAACGGAGACACTGAGTCGGATTCGCCATGGCAACATCATAAAATTGCTGATGTGTTGCAGCGGGGAGCAATTCAGGATCCTGGTGTACGAGTACATGGAGAATGGGAGCTTGGGAGACGTGTTGCATTGTGAACGGTTCGCAGGCTTACTAGATTGGCCTAGGCGGTTAGCAATAGCACTGGGTGCCGCTAAGGGGCTGGCTTATCTCCACCACGACTGCGTGCCCGCCATCTTGCACCGGGACGTAAAGAGTAATAACATTTTGCTGGACGAGGGGATGAATCCAAGAGTGGCTGATTTTGGGCTGGCTAAGACTTTGCAGCAGGAGATTGGGCAGGGTAATGGTGACATGTCACGTGTAGCTGGATCCTATGGATATATCGCTCCAGGTGACTTTTCTAATTTGTTTTTCAATTCGGACTGTATATATATAATTGAGCTTTCAAAATATTTAAATACCCTCAACGAGTTAAGGACTCTTATTTAGATGAAAATCTATAGTGTTTTAGATGGAAATACATACAGAATGATACTTTTGAATTGGTTGCAGAGTATGCCTACACATTAAAAGTAACGGAGAAGAGTGATGTTTACAGTTTTGGAGTGGTGTTGATGGAACTCATTACTGGAAAAAGGCCAAATGATATCTCCTTGGGTGAGAATATGGATATAGTGAAGTGGGTCAGAGAGGCTGTTTTATCATGTTCTAAAGAAGGAAATGGTCATGCTGAAAGTGGTTGCAGAGATCTTTCTCAGCTTGTAGATCCAAGGATGAAGCCGTCTGCATCGGATTATGAAGAAATTGAGAGAGTTCTGGATGTTGCTCTTCTCTGTACTTCTGCCTTGCCCATCAACAGGCCTTCGATGAGAAAGGTAGTGGAATTGCTTAAGGATCATAAACTGGCACGCTAAGATGAATTGCCCATTGATTGTAAGGATGATGGGTTTTGGGTAACCCCCTGTGTCTTCATGCATCATCTTTTTGGGGTTCAGTTTGTATTTATACTGCAATTAGCCTAGTATGACAGGGTTAATAATGTTGGCTTGGTCCTCGTAATTTTTGCCTAATTGCCTGGTTCACTTATGCATACACATTTCAACAGTTCAACTTGTTGAAAGCTTTGTTTTCTGTTGCCAGAAATATAAGTGTTACATACCTTTTTCCTTTTTATGGGAAGTGTTCTATACTTACAGTATCTCTGAGTTGAAGGGAATGGAGAGAATGACAAAAAAATTTTTTTATTTAGTTATCAAAAAAATTAAAGGAAAGAAGAGGAGAAAATTTTCTTTTATTTTGTTTTTTTTTTTATTAATTTGTTTACTTATCAAAACCAGGAAAAAGGGAGGAATGGAAGGATAAAATTCCTTTTTCCTTTTATTCTCTCCATTTTTTTTCAACTCAAATATATAGTTAAACATCAAAATCAAGAAAATTTCTAAATTTTCTTTTCTTGATGGTTATAAGATTTTAAATTTGTGCACAAAAAATAAAAGAATAAAATTCGTCTTCCCCCTTCTTCTCTCCTTTATTTTTTTCAATTCAAATATACAGTTAAACATCAAAATTAAGAAAATTTCAAAATTATCTCTTCTTAATGGTTATAAGATTTTAAATTTGTGCACAAAAAAATACAAGAATTGCATTCCACACTCACTATAATGTTTAGTTGATATTAAAGAAAAAAAAAAACTTTGAAATTTTACATTTTTATCCTTTCAAAAATGTTTTTTGCAATCAGTCTTAGAAAAAAAATATAGATATTTGGTGCAAAAATGACTAAAATGTTATTAGTGAATAAGAGGTGAATGAACATTCATTAATAACAATTTAATCTTTTTATACCTAGAATTAATGTTATTTTTCTGCAAGGCGGATGGTGAATCTGCAATATCTTATCTATTGTACACTTTTATGTTTAATTCAGTGGATACCCCCTTTTTTTTCTTTTTCTTTTTTTTTTCCATTTCTCAAATAATTTTTTTCGCCATTTCCGACGCCCACTGAAAGCATATCATGAATATTTGGCTTAAAAGCAAAGAGAGCCGTAAGCATACTAGAGGCAAATTGCACTTGGCCGATCTGATGTGGGTTGGTGCATTTAACCTTTATTAAACTATAAAAATGTTTATTTGATTTTCTTGTAAATTAAAATGTGCACTTAATCACCCAAATTTAGGAATGGCAACAAGTTATTATGGGGTGGGGAGTCCTCTCTATCGCCATCCTCACTAACGGTGGATATGGGAATTTTTGTGGGAATTTTTAATTGATCAAAAAATATTATCCATTTTTGTCTTCACATGAAATGATAAGTTTTCGTGAGTAGATAAAGTTTTTGTCAAATATTAAAAATGTAAAATATAATCTTATTTTTTTAAAATAAGTTTTATAATATTATATAAAAAGTAATTCATATGATATAAACAAAACCTATAGAAGTAAAATGTATGCAAAACAATTTCACAAACATCATAGAAAAATATTATATAAAAAAATAAAAGGGTAGAAATAACAATTTTTTTTTTAAACTAATCAAACAAGTAAATATATTATACATCTGCTTTCCAGCGTCTAAAAAATGCATACAATCCAACAATTTCATATAACAGTCCAGCAATGTCCGGCAAATGCATACAGCCATCTGGCAATCCAGGCGTCCAGCAGCAGTCTATAAAAAACAGCATAAAAGAGAAGAATTATGAAAGGCAAGACTATAAAAGGAATTGGACTTGACAATTTAAGTTGGGTTGGCAGTTGGATGAATAAAAATAATTGGTAACATATTTATGCAAGTATATAGAAATAAATTTATATGTTTTTATTATATATGAATCCTGCAAGATCTTATAAGGTAAAAGAAATTCTTTGTAAAATTTTATGAGAAAAAACTTGCTTTCATCCCGTCTCATAAAAAAATATTTTTTGAATTTCACTATTTATAATGAGAATTCATACAAAACTTTAAGAGTTTCAGAACAAATTGCCATCTTTACTCAAATTATAAAAAATTTCTTTTGATCATTTTATAGTTTGAAAAATATGCAAAATAACTCATGTTTTTGAGATTTCACCAAAATATTAATGGAGCTTTTTTTTTCTTGTGCTTTGCATTTAATGTATTTATTAACTATTAAGTTACATTAAAAAAAATTAAATATATTTAATTTTAATAACTAACTAATAAAATTGATATACTAAAATTAATATTAACATTTTTTATTTTTATGTGATTTAATGGCTAAAAAGTGTATTAAAATACTTAAAAAAATTTGTATTAATAAACTTAAGACTAAGTGCATACTTTTCAAAGAATTTTTTAATATTAAAGTAAATATTAATATTGCATTAATTATATCTTTTTATAATTAATTTTTATAAAAAATTAAAAAAGAAAATACTGTATTTATACCTATACAATCTTAATAATTTTAATTAAATAATTAATAAATTTAAAAATTAATTTTATTTTTACTTAAATTAATTCTAAAAAATATATAATTAACATATTTTTAAAACACAAATTAAAAAAATATTTTTTCAAATCATAAGAAAATAAAAAACACATTTTCATTATCATTTTAAATTTAAGCTCATAATTTCAAACCACACAAAATCCAATGCATATTTTAATTATTTGAAGTTAAGTGCACCCACCCAACGGCAAAGGAGTATAAATGCAATTTCCCTAATAAAACGCTGTAGTCTCTTTTCAAAATGAATAACCCGCGAAAACGGGGGCGAACCATGATTAAATTTGGGTTAACTGACCGTGGTTAACTTTTATCATTTTCCATCGCCTTCCCTTTATAAAGTGCCTAATTAACATCGAAAGCCCGATCGCATCTGAAGGCGGAAAGCAAATCCAGAAGGGCAGGCGTCTTCATCAACGCCGTTCTCTTTCTCCTCAAACTTTCTCGGTTAATTTTGTTCCAAATCTCAGCGACAATGAGAGAGTGCATCTCGATCCACATCGGTCAGGCCGGAATCCAGGTCGGAAATGCCTGCTGGGAACTCTACTGCCTCGAGCACGGCATTCAGGTACGCCTGATTCTTCTCGCTAAAATCAATCGTAACTTTTTAGATCTGAGGATTCCGTATGTGCTTGCATCTCTGATATGTACATTTTTTTAAACAGAAGGTTTACTTTTCTTTATTGCTGGATTATGATGTTTCTCTGAGATAAATCGATGTGCGATTGTGATTTTGTTATGTGTTTGCATCGCATTGGATGATTATTGCAAATTCTCTAAGAAAATGCTGTTTTTATTGCTCTATCTTCTAAGATCTGGAGTCCTGGATCTCGATTTTGAAACTATGTTAGTTACTGTATGCCATCTGTAAAATACTTTGTGTCTTGTGTAGCCTGATGGCCAGATGCCAGGTGATAAGACTATTGGTGGAGGTGATGATGCTTTCAACACCTTCTTCAGCGAAACTGGTGCTGGAAAGCATGTTCCTCGTGCAGTTTTTGTAGATCTAGAGCCTACCGTCATTGATGAGGTTAGGACTGGAACGTACCGTCAACTCTTCCACCCTGAGCAGCTTATTAGTGGCAAGGAGGATGCGGCTAACAACTTCGCGCGCGGCCATTACACCAGTAATTATTCTAGATCGGTTTGTTTGAACTTTAGATGTTCTTAATTGCTGAACCGCTAACTGGTAAGATCTCGTCTGTTTTCAGTTGGGAAGGAGATCGTTGATCTTTGCTTAGATCGCATTCGCAAGCTTGCTGACAACTGCACTGGTCTCCAAGGATTCTTGGTTTTTAATGCTGTTGGTGGTGGTACTGGTTCAGGACTTGGCTCTCTTCTGCTGGAACGTCTCTCAGTGGACTACGGCAAGAAGTCCAAGCTTGGGTTCACTGTTTACCCCTCACCACAGGTTTCAACCTCTGTTGTTGAGCCTTACAACAGTGTTCTCTCTACACACTCGCTGCTGGAGCATACAGATGTTGCGGTGCTGCTTGACAATGAGGCCATCTATGATATATGCAGGCGTTCACTTGATATTGAACGTCCCACTTATACCAACCTTAATCGCCTGGTTTCCCAGGTATATTCTTTCTTGGTTGCTGGAGATCTTTTTTCCTTTTTCACACTGAGGAATGTTGGTCTAATTTACTTCTGATGCATGATTCAGGTAATATCGTCATTGACTGCCTCCCTGAGGTTTGATGGTGCCTTAAATGTGGATGTCAATGAATTCCAGACTAACCTTGTCCCATATCCTAGGATTCACTTCATGCTTTCATCTTATGCTCCTGTGATCTCAGCTGCGAAGGCCTATCATGAGCAGCTCTCTGTTGCAGAGATCACAAATAGTGCTTTTGAGCCTTCATCCATGATGGCCAAGTGTGATCCTCGCCATGGCAAGTACATGGCTTGCTGCCTGATGTACAGAGGTGATGTGGTTCCAAAGGATGTCAATGCTGCTGTTGCCACTATCAAGACCAAGCGCACAATTCAATTTGTTGACTGGTGCCCAACTGGTTTCAAGTGCGGTATCAACTACCAGCCTCCAACTGTTGTTCCAGGTGGTGATCTTGCTAAGGTGCAAAGGGGTGTGTGCATGATCTCCAACTCCACTAGCGTTGCAGAGGTGTTCTCTCGTATTGACCACAAGTTTGATCTCATGTATGCAAAAAGGGCATTTGTGCACTGGTATGTTGGTGAGGGTATGGAGGAAGGTGAGTTCTCTGAGGCTCGTGAGGATCTTGCTGCCTTGGAGAAGGACTATGAGGAAGTTGGAGCTGAGTCTGCTGAGGGCGAAGATGGTGAAGATGGAGAAGATTATTGAGAATTTACATGTCTGATGTTTGCTTTGTTGCTTCTGTGTTGTGGTGTTATCATTATGTGTCTTTTTTTCTTGGTGAAGCAGCTTTACTTGCATGCTTGAAATTGTTCCTGTATTGAACTTTTGGATGATATGGCATTGGCCTCGTGACTTTTATTGTAAGAACTTTGTTCATTGTTACATTGTTTTCTGCTGTTGAATCCTGCAATTATTGTTAATCACTCTTGGTGAGTTTACATGTCTGTTTTATTTTTAATTGCGTATTTGTTTTCTTTATATCTTTCAATCTTAATCCTCCTAGTGTTTCATTTGTCTCTAATTTAAATCGTTAATCCTCTGTTACGGTGAATCTGTGCAATTTTTCGGTAATTATTTTTCTTTTCCTGCCGAGCACCAACACGGAAGAAAGAACAGGAAAAAAGGCGGAACATGGTGTGGGCTTGGATGGGAAGTCAGAAGGCTGTAAGCCTGCAACCCAGAGCCTAGTGCATGTGACCCAATAATTATCAAACAAGGTATCAGCTTGGAGGACACCTTGAATCTTTTGGGTCTTCTCGTTTAATCTCATTTCACTCCTTTAACTTTCCACTGCCAAAACTCCGTCGAGTAGCATGCACGTGCAGGAACATACCCAGAGGAGGCATCGGAAAAAGGTATATTTGTTTTAGCAATATGAGTAAGCAAATTGCAGTTTGACCATAGAAAGATTTGAGGGGGTGGTCTTCCATGCACCAACTCGTTCCTTTCCATGGTCTTGCTCCCTCAGCCCTTTTCTTATTAATTGTTTTCCTTCTTTTCCTTTAGATAAAGAAAAAGACTATTAAATAATTTAACTTTACTCAGATTTATCGTGCGGTAGAGGTTGCTCTGAAATACCATAAATTGCTCATATCATTCAAAGACTGAAATTCGCTTGGAAATGAATATGATCCTACTAACCTAAGTTTTATATATGATATGATTTTAAGGAGTTCTAAAGATTTCGGCTAGATAGCCGCTTTTGCTTTCGCTTCTCTATGGCTTTTTCACTATTTTTGCTACCCTCATGTTTGGTAAACATTTGATTGCTGAAGAGCATCTGTCTTTCAGGTGTCCTCTTGTTGCTGCTTCCCAGTTTCCAAAGAATTAACTCGTCATTTTGCTAAAGTATTTTCTTGTTTTCAGGCCTCTTACTATTCTCCATGACACTAGAAATAACAAACAAATATAATCTTCACTTTTTGGTCACAATATAGTTCTAGGTATTTTCTTTAACCGCCTTGTGAACAGAGTGGTTTAATTTATTTGCAATAGAGACAGGAGGACAAGTCTGCAACAAAAACTAGGAACAGAGAAAATAAAATATATTCCCTCAACTTCACATTCTCTTTGAGGTCAAGAAGACATTCGAGCACATTTTTCTGGTCTTCAATGGCTTTGATCCTCTCTCTCTTGCCTTATTGGGTAATTTCACATTTTACGGTATAGGCTTATAGCTGTAGCATAGCTTTCCTCACTACTCACTTGTGGATGATAGGTTCTTGACTTGATCATCGATTAGTGCTCAGCATATTCCATGGAAAAGAAAAAAAAGGATAAAAGAGTGGCTTCTGCTAACACTCGAGAACCTCACTCAAATGACTTCCTGGTATGTGACGCTTTCATTTTCTAGTTTACAGGAAAGAGTTTACCTCTATATTCTGTTATTCAGTTTAATCAGGGCACTTGCTAAACTCCAATTGCTTGTGCACTCTATAAATCTGACAGATCAGTAGGCTGTTAGGCTGAACTTTCCTTGAATTATTAATTTGTTGTTCAGTTCTCAATGATTCTTGTTAAAGTTTTAGCTACATAACAGGAAATAAGATTTATATGCTAAGATTCTGCCATTTTCGTTGTAAAAAGTGGTCAAAAGATATTGTTTATCGTTTTCTTTTTGTTTTGATGATAGGAACAGGATTTTCCCTGATTAAAGCAATAGAACAGTATTGTGTTAACAGTTAAATTAGGAAACTTAGCATATAGTCTACAGTTTTTGTTAATTAAGATTTCTTTTTACTGTTCACAGATTATATCTTGAGAGGAATTTCTAGATAGTTGAATTATATGTATTATATGTATGTGATGAGAAATTATTTTATTGATGTAATCTAACAAGTTACATCTGGTCATGAACAGAGCAAGGAAGAAGAAAATGGCACCAAGGTAAAGAATGCTAAAATAAGTAGCCCTTCGCATAATAATGCATTTCCTCCTGATCAGCACTACCCACAAACTCTTCAAGGCCCATATGGCTCTCAATATTATGCAGAGCAATCTGTCTTGAATTCAAGATCCGGTGCACCCTCCCAATCAGCCCCACCTATTAATCTAAACCAGTGGGAGCAAGCACCAGCCCTGCAACCAAATGCTAATAACCATCCAGTTTTGCAGGGTCAGCCAACTCTCCATTTAGCCCAATCAAATACACCCTTTTGGCTGCCACAGCGGTCTGGTTACCAGGTTGCTGGTGTCAATGTGCCTGGTACTTTTCAGCCATTTGCTCCTGCAGCAACAGTTGATGCTTGTTGGCAAGCTTCTACTGTGATAGGAGGAAACTCCTTGAGAAACCAACTGCAGGTTCCTAATCTTTGTTACCATGTTGGTTATCCATGTGCAGGGTTGCCAGGTAACTTTTCAACTTCAACTATTTTGTGCTGCATCTCATTCGGATAGATGTTTGTCATCTCAAGTTACATTTTCTGTTTCATCTCGACTGCAAAATGACTTTATTAAGCTTCATTGAATCACGTTTGGGACCTTGTGTTATCAATTGATTTTAAGACTAATTGGATTAGTTTCTGTTTCTAATATATGTAGCATGTTTCCGAGGTTAGTAATTTAATGAGGTCTAATGCATAAGCCAAAGCCCTGTAATTGCGGAGGACTTTTTGTTGACAGGTCCCTGGGATCCCACACCTTGGGCTCACAGTCAACAATCCCAGCCATCCTGCACCCACTCCTTCCCAGGAGCTTATGGCTATTTTTCTTCACCTTCACTTATGAAAACCTCTCAAAGAGGAATTATCAGGCCAACAACGAAACTTTCTCAGAAGCACCAAGAACTCTGGGAAGCTCAAGTATAATTTCATTTTGTTATACTTGTTTGTTGTTATTCTATCATGACTTTCTCTAGGCCTTTACCAATGATGATAAACATGTTGATTCATCTGTTCATGACGGTGCAGTCAGCTGAGAATGTTCATCTCTGGAGTGTGATTGGCCATTTGCAATCAGAAATAGCTGATCACAAAAACCGCTTAACAAAGCTTCAAGCTGAAGTTGCATCTCTAAGACCAGCTGGGAATGAAACTGCTCATCAAGTTACTGGACCTGCTTTACCTGGACAAGCAACAAAAAGAGGGAGACCAAAGAGATCAGTAGCTTCAGGTGATACGTTAGCTTCTCCTGGTGAGTCTCGTCCTCGAATCAGAGGCAGAAAACCTGCAGCATGCAAGGTTCAAGCAGAGGCTAGAGTTCTAGAATGTGAGAAATTTACTCTAAACAAGGTGGAAGATAACCATAAAGTTGGGCACTCCTCCGCTACTATACGGAAAGAAAATGGTGAGAAGAAAATCCCAAATACTACCACAAGCAGTGGAGATAATTTGGAAGTTAATGGAAGCAGCACGCCAACTCCTGCATTCAGGTGTCAACTCCAAGAAATTCCCAGAACACAGATATGTCGGGTTGAGACTAATTCCACTTTAGAAATGAAAATTAATGATAATAAGGTGAATGACAAAGGTTCCTTTTCAATTCAATCCCAGCATTCTGAGGAGAACAATTTAAGGGGTGCTCCAATCACTCACATGGGAATGACAAATAACAGCGCTCTTGGGTGGCCTGCTAGTGTCTACCCTGAAAACACTAGGAGGAGTTCGTTGAGTATGCGTTCTCAAGGTTTCTATGACAACGGCAGGATGATTATTATGAGGGAAAATGGATGGCATTATGTGGATGAAAAGGATGCTTCAGATGAGCTTGAAGATGCTGTAGTTGCCGCTGCAAAGAATGACAATCATGAGGAAATGGAGGAAGATGCCAGCTCCGGTGCTGAAGCAAATGCTCAAAGAAAAGATGAGGGAACATGTCATGTGGATGCTGCGGTAGGAACTAACCACAATGATCTGCCTCAATATAACAACTGGTGAGAGATTTTCCTACTAGAATCAGTGCATTTTTACATTTTTCTTGTTTGACATTAGATGTAGCTGAAGGTGCATATAGTTCCTGCTCAATTGGGCAAAACTTCTTTCTGTACTCCGGAGAGGTTTGCCCAAAATTTTGTAGGATAGCAGGATTTAACAATGCAAAGTAAAACAAACATACAAAATGACTTGTTACTTTACCCTTTTTCCATTTTTCCAGAGTTCTATTCTATTTGAGATTACTGTTCTTTGAGCTCGAGATTACCGTCCATTTTCCTGGTTCTGGATTTGTTTTAATTGTTTTAAATTATCAATGTCAAACAAAAAGAAAATTTTGAGTACTTATCTACCAGCCTTAGTTCATTTTCTTTTATAAGTCACCATGTAATTTCCCTAGTTTTGGCCCAAAAGTCTATAGTAGGTTTAGTTAATTTTTTTTAAGAAAACAATTCCGGCCAAAATAAATACTTTATATTATTTTAGAGACAAATTTCTTTAGTTAGAGCTTGATCTAAAATCTCCTGTGAGAGACATTTGAACGATTCTACAATCAGAGGATTTAAGAAAAGTTGTTCCTAGATTGGGCTTTTTATAAAAGCAACAAAAACGTTAAAATTCTTCATTAACCTTTAGCCACAGGTCCAGTTCCTGGTCTCAATCAAATCGAACAAGATATTGGTAACGTGTAGCTTGTAACCTTATCGTGCCAAAAATAAACACCAAATTTAAGTAGTTGTACCTAAGTTTTAATAAATAGACGTAGGACGTGGGGAAGCAACCATCAGGTTTATTGGTTTATTATCCAAACTTAAGTGCTTGAACTCAAGTCGGGAGTTTTACTCTCACTTACCATTTGAAAAAATATACCACCATCCCCTAAATTTCCCCATGTTGCAAAAAAAAAAAAAAAAATTAGGCGTAGTACGTAGCCTATGTTTCAAGCACATTAAATTGAAAATACGAATGGTGAAACATCTGCTAAGCCTAATTAGTCATGATCATGAACCAATTCCCTCTCAAAACACCAGATTTCAGACATATGGCAGCCCCTGTACTTCCAGCTATCATATTGAGGAACTTCCATCTAGAAACATCGCAAGTGACGGTCGTCGTGGTGGGTCATGCTTCCATAAACCTTTGGCGTGGGAAGAGAATTTTTTTTTATGAAAATTGTCCACGTCAAAGTCATTTCTGTTCGGATTTTTTTTCAAACAAAGGGAGAGAGAGGTTGAAAGAGCTGAAATCAATTTCCATTCCAGTTTTTTTGATATTTGTACATTACAAAAAGTTTAAATTTTGAAATTTAAAAAGTTCAATCTAAGCATTCTCTGTGCTTAAACCAATGGACTCTTTTACTATAATATTTTGTTATCAAAAAGCATATATCAGATCACATGACTCCAACTTAAAATATAACTAAAAGGTACACAAAAGGTTAAACTAATTTTAGTTTAACTAAATTGAACTTGTGTAGCTTGATGGTACTAATGTATTACTACTTCCACCAAAGTCGCTTCATGCAACTTTTATCACTCCTCCTTGGCATCAAGGCTGTACATTCCAAGTTGTTCTCTGAATAGCTTGAACCTAAACTTCCACAACCCCTTTGTAAAAATATCTACTATATGCTCCTTTGAACTACAGTAAATTAACTGAACTTCATTTTTGAATTTTTCTTCTAGAACCAATGATGTATTAACAGCTTTGCAACTCTTCACAGCAAACTCCTCCTGCGTTTTAACTCTCTAGACCATCAATCTTGTAGCTTCTAAATAATTTGCAGGCTCTTCATTGACTAGATTGCACCTCTCATAGATATCAATTAGTGTTCTGGTCCCTCTAATAACAAAATCATCATCAAATTCATTTTCATTCTCTTGCTCAACTTCATCATTCCCAAAATCAAATGTTGGTTCATCATTTGCTATAAGAACCTGATCTACTCAATAATTTGTGAACTTTCCCAGTTCCAAGCTACACTCTCATCAAATTTTACACTTCTACTCACATCAACAACACTAGCCTTGCACTATTTTCAGTTTGTTTCCATTGAATAGGAAAACTCCTTTCATTCATTCTAACAGTGAACAATTTTGAACCAAATTTATTTTCCACTTCACATATTTTGTCATGAAAATGCAAGACATAGTCATATTCAATCAACTGACTCACACTTATCAAGTTATAGCTAATATTAGGCACAAATAGTACATCATGAATGTATTTGATACCTGTTTGTGTCTCAATAGCAACTACTCCCTTGCCTTTGACCTCCACCAATTCTCCATTTCCAAGTCTAACTTTTGAATTGTATTTTCTGTCAAGGCTTTTGAATATGGCTGCATTTAGGGTCATGTGATTTATATAACCACTATCAATCAACCAAGAGTCATTGCTTAAAATGGCTGCACTACAATCTTCAGTCTTTATAGCCATAAACAGATGCTCTTCCCCTTTAACAATTTCTACAATTTTGGCTTGTTGAACTTGATCTAAACCTTCTTTATACACATTTTCAGCATGTCCAAACTGCTTACACTTTTTGCATTGAACTCTACGCCTAAATTAACAATATTTCTCAAAATGGCCTTTCTTTTTGCAATGTGAGCAAGGTATATAGCTTTCTTTTTTGTTTTTTTTATTTTTTGTTTTGATACCCTTCCTTTCTCAGTTTCTTTGATCACTAAACTACTTGTTTTCATCATATTTCGTTGTTGTTTTATCTTTGTTAGTTGCCAAATATGCTCCTTCAACATAGTTTTAAAACCTCAATGCTTTTCTTCACTCCACGGCTTATAATGTATTGACTAATTCATTCAAGGAAAATTGAGATAGATCTTTGAAATCCTTCAAGGATAAGATCTTGTGATCAAATTTCTCTAGTAGACTCACCAAAGCCCCCTCAATTACTATCTTATTAGACGGTTCTTCCCCTTGTAATCTTATCTTGTTCACCACCTTAGTTAGACGGTCAAAGAACTCCTTAGGCATCTCTTTATCCTCCATTCTAAGGAGTGCAAGCTCTTTCTTTAGATTGAGATCCCCCATTTACCTTGCCTTGTTATCGCACTAGAACTCTACTTTTAGCTTGTCCTAGGCCTCTTTAGTTGTCTCACAAGTCATGATTCCATTGAAAATTTCATCAGTCATTGTTGATTATAAATAGGTCAAGGCTTTGTATCTCTTTGACATCTTTTTTGAGTGTCTCTTAATTTGAGCAAGAGTAGCATCTGGAGGAAGAGGAGTCAATTGTTGATCTATCTCAACCACTTCCCAGAGTTTAAAAGCCCTTAGATATGCTTTCATCTTCACTACCTAAACAGTGTAGTTTTGGCCAGCAAAAACAAGGGTCTTTGCGATGAAGCTGATATTTGATTCCATTGCAACAAGGTTTAAAGTGTCTGGTGTATTTGGGTTTCACTCAAATCTCTCACAATCCCTCAAGAACTCATGGGCTCTGATACGATGTTTGGATTTTTCTCAAAGAAATGGAGAGAAAGGTTGAAACAGCTAAAATCAATCATTCCATTCCATTTTTTTGATATTTGTATATTGCAGAGGATTTAAATTTTCAAATTCAAAAGGTTCAATCTAAGCATTCTTTATGCTTAAGCCAAGGAGCTTTTTAACAATAATATTTGTCATCAAAAAGTACACATCAAATCACATGGCTCTAAATTAAAATATTAAGGGTAGCAATTTGCCCCAATCCTTGCAGCAACCCGGGGGGGGCAATTTTCCCCCAAGAAAATAACGGGGGAAATTTTCCCGCCCTGCAAAGCCCCAAAAGGAACCCCAACCCCGGAAAAAAATTAAAAAAAATATAAATTAATTTTATTTTAAATTTAATTCAACCCGTTATAGCAATACATAATATACATTTCAAACCCAAATCCAATCTAATAAAAATTAAACTTAACCCAGGTATGTTGGTTTAGCTATTTATGTTAAATTGATCTTTATTTATGTTTGGAACAAGTCTTTTGGTTTAACAATTTACGTTGAATTGATGTTTATTTATGTTTAGATAATTTATATTTGATTTTATATTTAGAGAATTTTAGTTAATTGTATTTGAATTTTAAAATTTTGTTAATTGTAATTGAATATTGTTAATTATATGTAAAAAATTTATATTTTGATGTAAATTGGTAGGGATTGGGGATCTTAGCCATTCGCGGTGACGGGGACGAGGGCAGACTCGCCTACCTTGTGAGGTCCCATTGTCATCCCTAAATATAATTAGAAGGTACACAAGTGTAACTAAACTGAACTTATGCATCTTGATAGCATTGATGTACTGCTACTTCCACCAAAATTGCTTCATGCAATTTTCATCTATTTAAATAATATTAAAAACGATTCCTTTTAAATAAAATTTCAAATTCAAGTTTTATAAATAAATAGATAAGAAGGAAGAGAGTTTTTTTCGTTATAAAATTTGACACTGTTTGACTTTAAATTAGTTAAAATTCAATGTGATTTCTAAGTATCTAGAAGTTATAACAAAAATAATATTAGAAATAAAAAAGAT